CATAAGCCCACCAACCGCGTCTCTTGTATTTTTATCGTTCGCCCGCGAACGCCACCGATGAACGTGTTTCCCATTAGGTCGCTCGCCGTGCCACCCCCGCATCACGCTTCCTTAACGAGCGCGTTTATCCGACCGATCTTCGAACCAGCCAGTCCACTCGCAGGATAACGATGTACCCTTCTCGGTGTCAATCCGCTCAGCGTCATCGAGATCGTGGACGCTGCTCGACACCGAAACACAATGTCGATGTGCATTTAACTCCATACCTTTCCTCGACTATGGCCGTTCATCCTCGAGAATCGATCGACAATTTGAAATGAGTTGGTTCGCTTTTGGTATCGCGGTATCGAGGATGTAGGTGATTTTCGTGAGAATACTCGGCGGGATGGGGAGGAGTTAAACGAGCTTTAGGTTATGGGAGCATTGGTGGTTTAGTGTGAGACGTGAAGTTTGGATTTTTGGAAGGTTTGAAGATCGACGTTTGATTGGGGTAAGTGAACATTGTGGGAAGATAAGTATTTGGTGAAATTGGTTGTTATTTTAGAGCGTTACTTGTAGCTTCGTTTTTTGAATAAAATGAAAAGATAGTTAAAATTGTGCGGAAATATTTAAAAGGTGATATATGTAGGATGAACATCTTCGAATGTAGAATTCCATTTTTTGACATGCGTCAGTTAGGCAAAATTAGTGATGCATGCACCTGGTGTATTTAAAGCAGAATTTTGAGAGAACGTTCTAGTTTTTCGTGCTAATTTAAGGGTTCGTATTAGACGCCAGTCAAGTAGAACGTGGCATTTCAATCGGACATTTCTATTGCACGACCTAATACATTCTTCATAATCTTCAGAAGTGACAGATTAAAGACTAATCAAAAATTCAAGTAGCTATATACATCACCATTACCTTTTCTTACCTACTGAAACCAATAATGTGAAATGCGTTCAATAAAATATCCACCTCTATCGAAAGATTCAAACTTGGAGACACGAGAATGAAAATGAACTAAAAACCAGTCCACAAATTTGACAAGAGAAGCAGAAAATCTGATTTTCACTCTATTCGACACAAATTTTCCTAAATTCGAATCTTCACTAAACCAAAAAGTAATCTCACCCCCAAAAAAGTTTCATCTATTCTAACTAACCTAAAAACCATCTACATCCTCTTCAATCTACTTCAAATCTCCAAAGGACCACTCCAAACTCCCTAAATCTCGCCTGAAAACTCCGTGGAGAAGCGAGAAGCAATAAAAAGCAAAATGAAAATGGAAACAGGAATCCCATGAAATCCATAAAATACACGGCGGTATGGGTCCAGCAGAGGCGGCAATTAACGGGAAATCGATGCCAGGATATTCGGCGACGTACGGGCGAAATTCACCCTTGGTCCAAGCTCGATCACGCCGGCGGATCGCGAGCGCGGAAGGACAAAAGCGGCCACGGCAGCAAGATGGCGGTCCACGGATCGGTAGGCGCGTCCGTGAACGCAGTTGGCTCGCGCAACGACCAATCGGCGTCGCGGCGTAACCGCGTCCGTGCGGTTACGCGGCCACGCCAGCTGCCACGCCGCCGCGAGTCGGCGCGTCACGGCCGCGGCCCCAGCAATTGAAATGCGGCTCGCCGCCGGCCGCCAGTTGCCCGTCGACTCGTGCCCGATACGGTCCTCTCCACGTGCTTTTTTTTCCCTCTTTCGCCCCCTCTGGCTCCCTTGATCGCGTTCCGAACGCGCACCCGCGCCTCCGGCATGGCAACGGGAAGGGACACGGGCCCAGAGACGGAAATCGAACGAGCCGCGGTCCAGTTTCTCGCGATATAAGTTTCCCGGGGGGAGGGGGAAGAAGTTTCTGTTTCTGTGTGAATTGGATTTTCTTGGTGATTTTTCGAGGACGACAGGAGAATGACATTTGAAGACCGGGGATTTTTATATGGACCTACAGTTTGATTCTGGAGGACGTTATTTTTGATCGGTGAATGGAAGAAGATTGAGGAACTGCATCTGTGATTTATGTGGATTTTGAAGTTACGCAAGTTGAGAGGTGTAATTGTTCTTTTGGTGGAGTTTTTCTTTTTGGATTGGAGAGGTAGATTTTGCGAGGAGGAACTGGAGGAGTTTATACGGTGGATCGCTGACTAAGTTTGTAGATGATCGTTCTGAAGAAGGATCGATGGAGATTGTAATATGAAAAATTGTCACTTACTTGTGTTTTTCAATGGAAGTTGTAGAGACTGTGACGTGTAAACGTGATTGGTAGAAATATTGAAAAACGTACTTACTGTTAACAAATTCCATGCGCCAAGTAATATGCGCTTTCGTGGATTTTAAGAAGTACTACCTATAACAGAAGTATCACGTATATTATAGAACAAGCAAACAAGATATTCGTCTTAGCAATTAAGTAAATTTGAAGTTACGAACAAATCTTCATGATGGACTCATTCATGCACGCAGGCATTTCAATATACGCACTCTTATAAATGCTGCATGCTGCGACACAACAATATTCTCTCTTATTCAAAAGATGCAAGTGCCATGCAACTTTCGCACCGAGAAATCTACAAAATTCACACGTTCAATTTTAAAACAGAGCACTAGACACTATCGACTTCAATATTAGTAAAACACCAGTGCAATGTGGTCGAATATTAATTATTAAACAGCAACTTGATACCGATGATAACGTAAAAAATCATCGAACACTCGAAAGCAAAAGTGCAGAATCTAAAATCGTGAAACGATAAAAATACTGCTCGTTGCCGTGGGATTTTAATCGAGAAAGAAAGATGGACTCCAACGTGGAGGAAACGGAACTGGACGTCGGATCCGCGAGCGACGAACTCGAGTCTTCGATCGCGGAATCGAAGTTGACGCGTCGACCAACACCGAAACCCTTCACGATCGAGAGTTTGATAGGGAATTGTGGAGCACAGAAGGGAAACTGCGAGCCGGGTACACACGGAGAAAGGAGAAACGAAAACGAAGAAGATTCTGATCGAGATAGGGAGTATCTTTATCAGCGACATTACTTGGCGACAGCAGCTGCAAGTGCTCTACCTCCTGGTTGGTTTGTGTTTAAAACTGCATGCAACATATTTCTCGTACCTCTTCCTTATCTACACAGTTTCTTGTTTTCATTTGATACTTTCCCTGACGTTCGTGAAACGATATATTTTCTCCCCGATAAAGGTGATTTGTGGTTTCTTCGCTTGTAATTTATCGCTTTGTAGAATAAACTCTATATATTTGAAATTTTTAATCGTCAAAGTCCTCTATTAATTTTTAATCAATTTTCAGGCTACGATATACCTGAAAACTTTCAAAATTCTTACAGCTCTGATAATTACGAATACTGTAACACTTCTAACAATTGTAGTCCCGCGCATAAATTTCGTTAGTCCTAGTGTTAACAGCGTAAATTAGATTGTGAACCTGTGTGACCAACTGTGCAATGCATAATTACATTCTCACCTTGCATAATTATTACTGTGGAATTGGTTTAATAATATGTTGCGAGTGAATGTAGTGTGTTTGTCGAATCGTCTCGAGATTTGGAAAACGAGCGGATCATAGAGAGAAACAGGGAGTAAAACAGTAGAACCGCGTTGTTAGTGATATCAGAGAGTACGTGAGAATTTATTGCGAGATATAATAAGAAATCGTTGATCAGCTTATCATTATTCCTTTTTTACGTGGTTTATAGTTATTATGAAATTATTGTTAGAAAATATATTGCTATTGAACTTATTATTACGTGTTATACAACCACGATTACGTATATTCGTTTAATCGAAAGTAGGTACCTGCAGTTCATCATACGCGCGTTCAGAAGCTTCTTTCACCGATACCAAGAATTTATTTGTTATCCGAGTCGACTTGTTTAAATCTCAATGGCCAACAATGTACGAAACATCGTTCATCTTTTGTTTCGGATGAATATTTGATTAACAACCACGTTACTGGAGGATCAATAGCAACGCTCAATTCGTAATTTACATATAGTCGTTAGATTTATCAGCTCGCGTGAATTATACGGACTTTTCGAAAAAGGGAGGAAACGAATATTGAAATTTTCAAATCGGTCTATGAATTTATACATACACATATATATGTCCTACCTACGGTTAATGTCAAGCAATGACCGAACCTGCTTTTTTAATAATTAACCGCCGTTACATACTTTACAACCGGCTTTTCATTTTGCGATCCAGCAATTACCGGATGTAGCATGCATAATTTAGTCCGAGCACGTCCTACTTTTGCCGCAGAATGAAGTTCACTTCTTAAAATAAGTCCCGCTAAACGTATGAAATGTTACATCATATCTCGAGATCGTGATAAGCTTCGATTTAAGATTGTACACCTTTCCATTCGGTAAATCATTAACACCGAGTCATCGTACGCATATTACCCAGTGAAATAACAATTAAACGACTTCTCGTTTCAAGTATTATTCATCGCTTTATAGCGATTACGTTATACCTCGTAACATTTATCGCAACAATGTCACCCTAAGCACCTAAATGCTCCTATCTTCGTGCACAACACAGCGTATCATAGAAATAATTAGTATATCGCGTTCTAAAATGAATCACGCAATTAAAACGTAAAAAAGTAACGTGCACTTATGTCGTGGATAACGTAGATCGATAAAAAGGAACATTTTATGAAAACGTAATCCTCGATAAAAAGTAAAATTTCATAACTGTGAAACATTTACAAAATACACTCGATTCGAATTGGAAATTTAAAAGAAGAAGTAGGAATCGTGTTTCATTTTAGAAGAAGAATTATTCCATCTTACAATTACCATGAATTATCAATTGTTACAAATTTAATCAATTAATCGAATGAAATATTTCGTTCGCCAAGTACTTACCATGCATTATTTATGTTTCGATTCGATAGGTTTTGGAGTGCCACTCAGTTTGTATGGTGCATGGTTACCAATGCGAATGTACGGCAACGGCGGCACTTCCGGTGTTCCGATGCTACCAGCGCACACCTCGGCCAGTTATCCGTCACACCAGGATCTTTATCAGAATCGGCTGTCGCAGCATCTCGGTCCAGGCACGAATCACCTTCAAGGCGCGGCTTATCCGGCTGCTTGTCAGCGTGGCTCGAATCATCGTGGCTCGACAAGCTTCACGGACAGCGAGGACGATGGTAGTATCGATTCACCGGCATCACCTGCGCACGATCTCTCGAAATCGAGACACGGTAAGTTTATGAATAAAGATAGCGAATAACGTTCTTTCCTTTTCTTGCTCCTCTTATTCGTGATTTTTGACTGTGCCGAGTAATTTCAGTTTTGAGAGTGAATTATGAAGTTTTAGAAAGAGGTTGCGGTACAATTCGTCACTATTTTTAGTTCGGTCTTTTTGTAATAATTGCAGAGATGCGGTGATAACGGGGAGTGTTGTTTAATTTATTCTTAAATCTAGCTGTGCTTTGAGATTTTCTTGTATCGCAGAAACATAGTGTTTTTTTTCGGAAGAGAAGAGCTGAATTTTGTCAGTCACCTTTGCGCTGATTTTATCCATTAACTATGCCATTTGTATTATAAAATTAGTGCAAATGTGATCGACAAAGTGATTTCCTTCTCTCCTGAAAAATGCAAAAAATGTAAAAAATAAATTACCTCGCTGTTTCTTTTTGATTTAACGACCGCAGCATTTCGCATGCACATTTTTCATCGGTTTCTCGGATTCCTCTCAATTCATATCGATACTTATTTTTATCCTGTCATTTCGTTCCCAATGGTTTATTAACGACAGTGCACCGTCATGTGAACGGGATCGTGAAATACCTATTTATTTATATTCCGCTATTAACTTACAGCCATTGGTAATTTTATATTCGAAGCACGGGCAAGCTGTATACCATAGCTCAACGTCTGACGGTTGTTAGCGTTAACAGGATGCGGGAGTGATCGTTTCAATTATTTCTAGGACTGACGAAATACGGTAGCAATTAGTAATTGAAATAAACGACAAAGTCTTTATCAGGGTAGTAACAGTATTTACCCACGCGAACTTCCTTCGTCAATGAAACTTTCTGAGTGAAAACTTTCGTATCACTTCATTCACTATTTATCCGTAAAAATTTCAACAATAAGTATATTCAATCATATTTATTCACATCATTTCGATACCCTATTTCACAGCTGTTTAATTTCTTATTTATCGAGTGACAGAAAAATTTATCAGTATTAACATCTCTGCGAGACAAAAATTAAGACGATCGATCACTTCGTATGAAAAATTGTACATTTCCAACCGGGAATAAAAAGTACACTTTATAATTGCGAACTTATAACCTTATACCTATAGAGGCTAAACCTTGTTAGACAATGCAATATCTCTTACCATCTAATTATCCTTTAAATGTTGAAACAGCTAGGCTGTAGCTCTCGTCCTAGTTTCAAAATGATCGTATGAAAAGAACACCTTGTAGTTTTGAAGTATCGACTGCCTCTCTCGGGCAAGCTTGTCAAATAATTCTCTCGGCAAGCATAACTTCGAACGGACAATTCAATTCAAATACACACTAGTGTTTAATATAAAAGAAAAAAATGGAAATTCTAACGGTAGGAAATAATTATGACGATATCGAGAAAATTTCACGGTACGTTTCATCCAGCACCGATTCAACGGGAAATATATTCGATGAATTATCGACGGAATCGAAGAAATTTCCGAACGTCGCCCCTGCCTTCGAGGAACAGGGTTTCTTCCTCGAAGGGTCGTCGAGCGTTTGAAATTCGGCCAGGACTTACCGAGTACCGTATCACGTACTTAAGCGCGTGTGCGTACAGAATTTTACAGGTGTGTGTGCGAGCTGTGTGAGATTTGACTTTGGGACGACTATAATTTATGCACGCTACTGTGGATCTCGGGCCCTTTGCCGGCTTCGATCGTGGCGTCTGCGATCGTAGTCGAGGATACGCTCCTGGAATCCATAAACGTTCATCGCGATTTTTTTTAATTCGCATTTCTCGGATGATACAGGTGTCGTTCGTTCGTTTCTTTCGCTTTCTTTTTTTTTTTTTTTTTCTTAACACTTTCGCACTTCGCGCGTTGGAGGAAGATGACGGATATATTCGAGATTTTTCTACTTCGTTCGCCAGCGCTGTTTTGTACGGTGTGAACGAGGTTCGATCAGTCCGGCGACGTTTGGATTCGAAGAATCGAACGTTTGTTAATGAAAATGAGAATCATAATTGCTCCAAACAGTGTTATTCGAGTTAGTGAACTCCGATCACGAATCAACCAAGTCACGTAACACGCTGCTTGATTACTAATCACTTTTCGTTCCCATTTCGACCAATTTATTACCCCCTCGCTCCTCCCGAGGACACTGCACGGAATAATTGAAGAATCATCTGCACAAATCACTTTAGCCTAATTACGACGACCCTCGTGTTCACGGAATTCAATTCCATTTGAAAAGTAGCTAGGTAACCTTACATTTTGTGTCTTAATCGTTCAAAACAACTATGCAACTTTAATATATTCACTCATAATGTGAATCGTTTAAAAAAAAGAAATACAAGTACTTACTGAAAAGTGCTGCATTGCAAAACTTGAAAAATGCTAGAAATTTGACGTCACTCAGCAGGTATCAAGCTTTTCTCGATAAATCTCTTCAGAGAACTTTCTCACATATCCCGAATAGTAACTTCCGTTAATCACATTGTTCTCACAAATTGTATCCTACACGAAACTAAACGTGCTCATTTTCCCACGCTACTTTCCCTAAGAATCACATTTTCCCCCCCAAAAAAACTACCGTCGCGTTCGTTTCGCGCGCACTTGTTCGATCTCGAACGGTCTGATTGTCGGGGAAAATGTGACCAGCTAATTGTTTCGAGTGGCGCGAATAGTGCCGTAATGGGGTTTGGTCGTAGCTCAGGGTGGAAGGGGGAGGTGATGTTGGATGGAAAGTCGAAACTCGCCGATCACGTATTTCCGAAGGCGGCGCGGCGGGGCGAACGGACGATCGACGAAGTCGCGCGCATTTATTCGTGGCCGATCACTTTTTATTGATGTACCGCCGACCGAGGCGATTTCGTATGCGCAACGAAATGGCTTCGAGGAATCTGTCATCGGTCATTTATGACGCACCGTGCCGAACCGGTGTGCTGCCGATCGTTACGACGAACACACCGACCGAGACGCATGCCCTCTCTATTCTTGGCCCCTGACAATCGGAAACGATCCACCTGTATCGTTCCTTCTTCTCGTTCGAACCCCCCAATTCGTTGTTTTATGTTTCCTTTTCAAGTCTCGCTAGACGCCGAGGAAATCTCGATAAAGAGAATTCTTTTGTCGTTTCGTTTCACGCTTCGGCTTGAGAGGTGTGCGATTGAGTTATGGAGTATCGAACGGTGATTTTGTGCTTCGTGGAATTGTTTCGGGTTTGATGATAATGGAGAGATTTGAGAATGAAGACGGGAGATTTTGTGCTCTGTGAAATTTTCAAATTTTCGTAGGTTCTGTAGGTTAAACAGAGAGTTCCAGGAATGAAAATATGTGCGAGGAATTGAAAGTGTATTAACCCTTTAGGAGGACGATGCGTAATTATGTCGCTACTTCAATTTTTTTTGTGAAACTAAATCATCCAAAAATCACATTTCCTCAAATAAATGACAAAACATGAGTTCACGTTCACGTTAATTATTTTTATTACTGAAAAAGAATGTGAGTTTATTGGGTGCGCTCATAATGTTTTGTGAACGCCTTATCGCCCTCAAAGGGTTAACTGTGAAATGTTTGTAAGATTGATAAATTTAGTTCAAATTTCTTTCTGTTCTCTGTCGCTTCTATTAACGGTACCTAAAAGATGCAGAAATTGATTGCTCTATAGATCTTGCCTTGGTACTCGTTCACATCAAAAGATTCTCAATTAAAAAATTGCTGCCTGAACTGCTCATTTGTTTAATTAAGTCAGAAACGAATTTGATGTCCAATCCGAGGTTGTTAAATGTCTTCAATAACACAGAATTTGTAGTCACTGTTACTATTGCTGTTCCCGTTTTCAATGTTTGATCGTGTATCCCTGAATTCGTAGTTTTCATTCACCAAGTTATCGCCTCGATTTCACGTGAATTCCAGTTAAGAGATGATCGATCGCTCGTTCATGTACTAATTCTATTTACGTGGTGTCTGGACTGCTTTAAACGAGTCGCGCTGAGTCTTGAAACGGCTTCAATTTCTTAATTGTGTCACTCAGTTTATGGCGAAGTGAATATATGAATGAATCGTGCGAGACTGTTGATTTGATTTAGAAATCGTGGAATGTGAATCGTAAGGTTTATTATATGATTCATGTGGAATAAAAAACTTTCGGATGAAATTCTATATTCCGGTAATCTCGCGAAATTAACAGTGACGTACACATTTATATCTGTTACGATTGTCAATCTTTTAGAGAAAAATTGATCGATGCAGGATGTTTGCTCTATTAAATATTGCATTACAGTATTTCTACGAATAAGCTGTTACAGTAAGGATTCAAATGGAAGAGAAAAGTTAACGACTATTTTTCGAGCCGCGAAAAATTGTAAGCCATTTCCTTTTATCGAGAGAAAGATCGACGTTGCATTGATGCAGAGTGGCGCAGTTGATTCTCAAAATTAATCGCGCTAATGAGACGGCGTGGACGAAGAAATTCTTAAAAACGAATAGAATCTTAAGAATGACGTATCGATCGTGAATTAAACGGAATTATTTAACGAACGAACTCTGGAAGGAATGAATGAGAAGTTCCCAGCTATTCGAGAATTTATAGCAACTTAAAGAACTCATTGTATTCTCAGACACGTTCGAATGTAACGACTAGAGATTGACATATGCATAAATTATCGTCTCAGCAAATGGAAACGGAAAATGGATTTGACAGTTTCATTTTATAATTCACTCTGCACTCGAATTTCTTTTCACGGTGTGCTTGAAACATTAAGATTCCGTTAGAAGCATTTGTCTTTCGTAAAAATATTCCTGCTATTTCTGTTGTTCGATTGCCATTCATTCTTTCCACAGCAGATTCTAGTCCGAACTTCGATCTTTCGTTGGAATTTTAGAAATAGCTCGTTTTGTCTGCTAGAAACGTCCGTAAAACTGTTCTTTATATTTGAAACAGAATCGAGTGCTTCTTTGTATCTCAATCTGATCCAATTCTACTTTCCAATTTTCACATAAAATTGATTTTTCTGAGTAACGTAAAAATTAACCTGTATTATTTTTACTTTTTACCAAAAATTGAAACAGCTAAACATGCAAGATGTAAACAACAGTAGTTTATATCAGAAGAAAGGCTGAGTAGCTTTTTCACCGGCTTCTTCTATCGATTAGAAATTCGTTTCTGACTTGGTTGACACGAAAAAATGAAATTTACCCTACGATTCCGATAAACGATGTTGTCTGCACGTGAAAGCAGCATCGTTCATTTAGCAGCAATGCAGCTAGTCGCATTGATCGTGAGTGCAAGTGACGTCAGGCAAATGATCGGTTGGAAGACAATAACCGGGATTTTAATTTTATGCGGCGCGACCAGAAATACATAGAACGAACGACGAGCCGCATAAAAAAGAAATCGCCGTCGTTTGCCACGATTTCTGCAATTATCGCTCTAATTGAAACGGAAGTTACGCTAATATTTATATCCTTCTGTTTTCTCTTACAAGTATAATTATCCCGTATTCTGATTTCGTTTCTTGCGAATGATCACCGAACGAATTTCGCTTGCAAACTTATTCTTTCGTTAACGAACGAACAGAGGAATGGTAAAAAGAGATTCTTTTTGCTTTTCCAGCAGAATCTTCGATTCGCGATTTTTCCTTATTCATTGCCCATCGTGAACCTCGTGGCGAGTGACACGACAAGGGAGGATCGCCCCGCGTTCCTATTCGCATCGAGAACCTAAATTCTAGCGGAGAAAAAAACCTTGTCCCCTCGTATGAACACGGTCAGAATTGGACCCTTCGATTAGTCGATACATTTAATGGCCTTGCGAAATAAAGGATTCGTTTATTCCGGACAACTTAGAAAGAAGAACGAATTTTCATTACGTCGATGTAATTATCATGAATGGGAATCAAGTTGGAATATTTGCAGGCAAATTCTATTATTCGTGGGAAAGACGATTTTTCTGTAAGTACATCGCTGAATATGGCTTCTGTTCTGTTTGCGTATCGATTTGTTGCGCGGCTAAAGCTTCGTCTAATTTTCATCGAGGACCAAGGTAATCTGACACGTAAAATTAGTACATCGATAAGAGTCTAATGAATAATCCTGTATTTAATGCAACTGCGTCGACGTAACCTATATACGTCTTTGTGGGTGAATTATTCAGGCATTTACAGCTCGGCGATGCAGCCATCGACAGAACGTGAAATGAAATTCACTGTCGCGGCGTGTGGATTAAACAACGCTGTTTCCACTTTGTACCGGTGGTGCATTTTGACGATTGAAAGGGAACCGCGAAGAAAGAACAATGATAATTCGAAGAAGAAATATCTTCCAAATTAAATCGAAGATGTCTCATTGCTTAGTTAATTTTATCTCAATTACTTACTTTGACAATTTTATAAATACAACGTGCTACAGTAATTTGACGCTATTTCTTGTAATAAAAATTCATATAGGCAGTGTACAATTACTATAAGCAATCGTTGTAGCAATTGTCACGCGTTTCACTTAATTTTCATCGAAGAAAAATCATTTCTCATTTGATATAACAAAGTACGACCAAGAGTTTCTGCGTAAAATCGAGGAAGCACCTATTCACCAAGGAGATACATCTGTTTCAATTCTTCAAGACGTCGGTCGAACGAGAATGTATCGCGAAGATGTATAGTTCTACGAGTAGAGCGCCATTCCGACGGGTGCAGAAATCGGATCGAACTCCGATTTGGCGAATCGCCAGTATCTCGTTGAACAGTGTACTCGCGAGAGCATAGACAACGAACAGTGCTGCGTGTTCCTCTGATAATCGCATACGATAACAGAAATCAGGCGATCTTTCATGCTGAAACAGTCACCGGACTCTGTACAAGCATCCAGCGTATCGTCGAGTTCTCGAATTGTCTGGAGACGTTCAGTTTAGACGATACACTCGCGTTGTTTCATCTCGGAAAAATGTGCATCCGTTGACAAACAATTTGCACATTATATCGATTTGGAAAGTTTCGCTGCTCGTCATTGTTGGCGAGTCCGTAACAACTTTCTTAGCTCGCGTTCAACTCACTGGCTTAAGAACTTACGCACTCTAGTTAAAGTTCGCGTCAATTCCGAAGAGGTATTTATTGGGAATTAGAATTACTGTGGAGCTAAGGGAATGACTAAGTTTATTATCAATTTAAAATTCTTGTATTCTAGATAGATTTACTTCTAATAATTTTCAAATGTTCCTCTAAAAATATTCATCATCGAAATCTTCAACTTAACATTTCTCTGAAAACACTTAAAAGCTTCTTGAACGCAGCTGGTTCCAACTTCTTCGCAATTTTCGAAGAGTAGATAACATTTAAATGGCATTTCCATCTCCATTAAAAAGTTAAACCTTAACAGCCCATCTGTTCCATTACAAGCCATCGTTTCTATTACCTCGATATCGAGCAATTGCTCTATTCGAGCGTAATGGCGTGGAGGAGGAACGGAATAGAGATGTAAGAATATCGTTTTAGCTCGGATCGATCAGCTCGCTTCTTCTATCATACAAAGTGTAAAGACTACGCGGGGACAACGCCCGAACGTTTGTCCGTGGGACTGTTGGAGAACGTCGCGGGCTCGTCTTGCTCGCGGAAGTGTATGGCCTGTTCAATCGAAACTCCGTGAATTAATAAAGACGCGGGTGCATCAAACTCCCGTCGCGGAAACTTCGCCTTCGTCTCGCTTCCACGGGAACGATCGTAAACACGAAAATGAATAAAAGACGGAAAGTATGAACTCGAAGACAGACAGCTGTTGAGAGAGCGACGGCCGTTAACTTATTCGTGGGAAATTGGAGTGAACTGAACGATCGTTGCAACAGATCGCTGCTAAAAAATTGTTTTCTCAATTGTGAGTATTTTGGAAAATGTTTAGTTATGCAGAAACGAGGGAACGGAAGATTTGCGAGACTTTTCAACGATATTTCAGGGTTACCTTTCAGTCTTTCTCGAAGATTTCCATTGTTAACTGCAGAAAGGTTAAATTCGATACTTTCTCTATAATTTCTCTGCAATTTTTGTCGTCTTATGTTTCTTATATTTCTCTTCTCAGCCGTCTTTCGTAAAATTATCGAGCACTGTATACGTTACTGCAATATTTTGTCTAAACACTGGATATCCACACAGAGACACTGAATTATTTATGATATCGGTTTGATGTTCCATTAATCCACGCTACGAGCCGTATTTTTTTACTCGCACTTTGCTCTTGTTTCTTCATTACCATTTCAAAAGGAAACCTTTATTCCGTTTAATATTTTATCCGCATGGCAAGCGAAGTGTATAAAATACGGCAAAAGTCATAAAATATCATACTTTATCCGAGGTCGACTGCAATAAGTAGAATGTTCAGCTGGCTTCGTAAGGAAACAGGGGGAAAAAAGAATGAAACACGTGGAAAATAACAGAGTCAGCGAATGAAACTTCGATCGGGAGTTATAGAATTTATGGCCGAGCGAGTTGCATGTCCTGCATATTAAATCTTCTTATTCTCAAACTGTACCGATGTTAATTGGCTTCCATCGGGTCGCGGTGCAATCGTTCGACGACTTAATGACGTGGCACTGAACGTACTCCTTGACAAGCAACGAAAATGTACTTTCTGAAACGTGGTCATTGAAATTCCATTCAGCGTTAGGTGTAGATCGATTGCTTTAACCGGTGAATTTGTAGTGAAATAACATTTGTAAACCATTATGGCGAAATAAATGGAAAAACGTTGGAAACTATTTCCAATGATCACTTAATGTTTTAAGTATCTCTGATTTAAATTCTCGTAGCGTCTTCAGACGGACAAGTTTCTTAATTCTTTCAAATTTATCGAAAGAAAAGTTCCCCTTCTCAAGTCGATCAATTCCAATGATCTTCGACGAATTCATCTCTGAGATATTCGAGATCCTTAATTTTTTCAAATTTACTAAAAGAAAACTTTCTCTTCTCAAGTCGATCAATTCCAATAATCTTCGACGAATTCAACTCTCAGAGAGTCAAGGTCCTTAATTTGTTCACGTTAAGAGATTCAAGATCCTCGATTCTTTCTCAACTCCAGCAATTTTTCCCTAAATTCACCTCTCGAAAATTCCTCTCTTTTCCAGGCTCGGAGAACGGCCGCGTGTCAGCGGACAGCGAAGACGAGGGCGGAGGGTTGAGCGTAGCCGGCGATGGCCACGACGCCACAGACACAATGTCCAGCAACGCGTCCAGCAACGTGAGTCCCGGAGGTTCCCTGGAAAACGGTCAAACCACCTCAACCAGTGGGTCCAGCAACAACAAGGCCAGACGCAGACGAACAGCCTTCACTTCCGAACAATTACTGGAACTCGAACGCGAATTTCACGCGAAGAAGTACCTCAGTCTCACCGAAAGATCGCACATCGCTCATGCTCTAAAATTATCAGAGGTCCAGGTGAAGATCTGGTTTCAAAATCGTCGAGCCAAGTGGAAAAGAGTGAAGGCAGGATTGAGTGGCGGTGGAGTTGGTTCCGGTGCAACGAGTATGGCGACTGCTGGAGCCTCTAGCAGACACAACGGAGCGACTGGTCAACATTCTGGAAACGGTACAAGGATCGTGGTGCCGATTCCGGTGCACGTCAGTCGACTGGCAGTGAGATCTCACCATCATCATTTGGAGAAGTGCGCCAGGCCGCCCAGAGTTAGACCAGCCAGCGAGAGTCCAGCGTCCAGCGCTTCGTCCTCGGTCCTCGGCGATGCTCTTGGACTGGTGAATTCTTCTATCAACCTCAGCGGACAGGTGCAGAGTCCTTTGAGCAGCGGAGTTGGAATTGGAGTCGGTGTTGGATTGAGAGCGTTCACCGTACCGTCTCATCGCGGTGGACTCAGCTCTTCCGGCAGGTAGTGAATGCTTAGAAGTGAACTGTTACCTCGATACTGTTTAGAGAATCGCGGTGAAAATCGCGATCTACGGCTACTCGCGAGATGGAACGCTGAAGGTGTTTGGTGTTGAGGAGGATTTGGAGTAGATGGATGATTGGAGACGGTGTGGGTGGTGGATTGTTCAGTGACGAGGTTGTACAGTGGTTCGAGTAGAAGAAGACAGATGGGCGATGTGAACTTCTCTTGGTAATTCCTGTATATGTTACTCGAAATAGATCGGTTCTTTTGGTACCGAGCTTGTCGATCCTGTTGTACGTTTAATACCTAAGTACTATTTAACTGTCTAGTCTTAAAATTCGATTCTGTAAACTGAATTCGTGGGTAAAAAATTGACATCACACTGTGTCACAGATACGATTTATTCTTGCAAAGAAATTACGTTCTGTGTTACAAGTAAGACTCGATATGTGCGATATTCTTGAATTCTCGTAGATTGTATTCTGGGGACAAGCTAATTCTTCGGGAGACAAACGTTCGAGTAAAATCTGTTTTCATCACCCATCTATCTCTTTCACAGATATCCTTCGTTCGCCGGAAATCACCGGGAAATCGTCCGATTTTCAACGAAAATCCACGTTGTAAATAAATATCTTTATCCTAAATAGGAGAGAACTTTGTATATAGCTTTCGCACAGCGTACCGCCTACTTAGACTGTATCCGCCGTAGGTCGTACTTGTAGATAATTTCCTTACGTTTAAGCGTGTCTCCGCTTCCATCCTACGAGTACTGTGCGCGGGACGATACCGTATCGATCGAGCGTGCGATTAACCGCAGCTGCATCAGGGCCGCGGAGCGGAAGAACAGCGAAAATGTATACCGAGAAGGCAATAAAACGTGCGAATATCATGTAGAATACCGTGTGCCTGTACCTCTGAATACATACCGTTTCCCAGCTCTATTTCACGCCAACTCCGATATTACAGGGCGCTCGCCAAGAGCTCGTAATTCCGCGACTAGACGAGAGTTATGGATCAAACGGCTCAGTCCATGGCACACGCTTTCATTATTCATTCGCGAGTTAAGGGCGAATTAAACGTGTTCTATGCTTACCACCCGGCTATTTTCAGTAGCCTCTAGACAACAGTTGGAGTGTTTTTATTCTCGTTGGTTCAGAGGTAAGTGATCCGTCTTTTTAGCTACTATTGCCGGTCGTTTGGCGATGATCGACGAAAACGGTCTTTTCCGAGGTAAACCGGTGTATATGTGGTTCGTATCAATTTTTACGTCGGTCGACTTGTGTTAGGTTCTTAACTGTAGTTTGATTGATTACAGGCAGGAAATTTTATTTTTAGTTTAGCTTGTTCCAAGGTAGGAAGTTTCTGTTGAATTAATTTTTACTTGTATCTTTTCAACGATAACGGTAACATAGTTTCAAAAATTTCGCAAAATTCTTCAGAGATTATTGCTAAAATATAGAAAAGCTTGTCTAATTTCACGAAAGTAATAAAGAACAAGAGTTCAAAGAGAAGCTTATCATCGTCAAATTTCGCAAGCTGAATAGAGAAGAAAAAGTTCTTTCGTTGCTGCAACGATGAAAGACAAATTACGCATCGCCTAACTCAGCATCTGCTTGGTCTCTCCAAGAAATTCTTTCCGAGAATTCGACCAAAGATTCTTGCACTCGCCTTTTCGTCGCATTCAACCCCCCGGGCAAATTAGCTGGCTGCACAATGCGCCAATGCATATCGACGAGCGGTTAGGTTGCATGGCCGAAAGTGGCATATGGGGTCACGCCTACGAGGCGTTCATGGGACCCGGTCTTTTTCCATGGGTCCCCTTGAAAGACGGGGCCAGCACGCGCCGCAGCCTGCGAAAATACGCGCGGCGAACCACGCCCGCGGTCTGCAGCCTGCGATTTTCCACGTCAAGGTGATCCCATGGGAGACACTGATCTCGTTTAGGGGATGACAAAAGCGATCCTGACGTCCCTTCGAAGAATCTGGCTAGACGTAATTGTCAAAACAACTTGAAAATCGATTACGGGGGCGATGTGAAAAGAAATTGTTACACCGAATGGAAACTGTTTTATGGATCGGTGAGATTTTTTTTTTTTTTTACACGTTAACGCCTCGTGCCCTATTTCGATGACACTTTCAGTTTGATTTTTTTGGGAATTTGGAAATAATTCGACAGCGTTGTTTTCTCGGGAAGCAGATCGAACGATAGTTTGGGCTTTAATTGATCAATGAAAGGGGATTTCTTGAAAGTGTAATTGGGTCAGTATGTCAGCAGTTTAAGGTAAATATTCAATTTTGGATAATCTATATAGTGCTGATTTAGACACCGTTTCCTTTTTAAATATTCTCTCTGTATTTTAAACCCCCGGAATTTAATTTTCATTCGCTGTGTCATTTTACGAATTTCTATAAATGAATTTAAGGAATAATTATCAGTCTTGGTAATTAAATTGACAATTCTTCAATATACGAGAGATCCGACATGTATGAAAAATTTCAATACACTTGTAGTGCCTCTCGTTAATAGTTCGATCGATCATTAGCCAGATATAACAATTCCGTTAAAGCTCTTTGTTAAAGGCAAACGAGACGTGGCTTATGCGACGACTAATCGATCAAAATTTCCGACTACACGAATATCAATACGCTTGTGCATCTCACGCGCATTAAAGTAGGAAGTGGATCGGGTGGAATCATGCAGTGACTTCGGATTAGGGCGTTGCGACAGGGGGAAGAAAATTATGGGGTGCAATAGAGTGGGGTTCAAAGTGCACCAGCCATCAGTTTAGCGTATCAAAGGTATCATCGTTGTAATTTTCTTGGCGAACCCTAATATTTGCACGGTGACAATCTTCCTTCAATATTTGCTCAACATATAAACATTTCTGTAATACACAATTGAATTAGAAAATAGACATCGCCCTAATCCTCTGCTCTTCAAACAACTGCTTAATTAATTTTTAATAAAAGTATTAATTTCAAAAATTTTAATAACAGTATTCTAACAAAATGAATTTAATTCGTTATTAGAATAATGAGCAAATCCTTCAGTTAACAAATTCACTCCCCAAAGGCTACGAGTACAAAGTTAACTTCCCTCAATCGTCCAAAAGAATTACAAATTAAAATTATTTTCACAAAAATTCCAACACAGGCTTCTTCCTGTACCGAATTAAAATATGCAGAAGAATTCAAACTATCCCGAGTCGTACGTGGTTCTAAAGGACAGTGAACATGTTAATCACGAACCTCTTTGAAAAAAAAAATATTGCTAGCAAGACAGGATGAAAGGGCAGAGCGACGTAGTCTCGAAAGTAAAGGA